CAGAACCGGAAGGTGTTTTAGATCCATCTGTGAACTAACAACTCTCTGTTCTTAATATTTCCTTTTCCCATTGTTCCCAATAAATGCTTCATATAATGTGAAAAATAATTTGGATCATATTTCACTAATAATGCTACCTGATTAAAACCTACCTAATTAAAAATATTCAAACCTTGTGAAATAAATTTCAGCAACCCATTAAATGGGCATGTAATGAACTGATTGCTGATTTCCACACTAGGAAAAGATTCAACAGAGGCAAGATTTCAGTTCTATTTTGTCATTCAGTAAAGTCTCAGAGATAATGAATCTATAATTTCCAAGTTCCAAACCTTTCTCTTCCAAGTATTATACATTATAGTCATGTGAATGTGGAATTTGTCTCCACATTGGAAAAGTTACTCCTATGTTCTTTCATTCTTCGGGAGAAGCTTCTTCCCGCTTGTCCGATATACAGTTATTGGTGGGTTCACCAAAATATGTCAATATCCTATGATTACCATCGTTTCTCGAAGTGGGATGATTTTAGCAAACAGCTTGTTTTCGTAGTTTTCATTGGTAAGAATGTTGTAGATAATCGTTGACAGCTCTTTGCTTGATGATACCCAGTTCTCTCTGATATTTACTTTTTGACAGAAGGATATTCTGTGAAGTTAACTATAGAATGCTACTACTTTATGCTGATGCGGATATGTCAAGAAATCATGTATGCCAATGTATGGGATGGTTTGTGTAGTATAGAAATTGACTTGTGGTTCTTGGTCGCAACTTCATAAATACCAAAGAATGAAAGAACAGAGGAATAGTTTCCTTAACATGAAGAACAATTCCACATCTGCAAGCCATCTTATGGCAGAGGGACATGACTTCAACCACAACTATTACGAATAACATTTGCAAGAGAACGATTTGTAACTCACTCTTTCGGAATGCCTGAGCTGAAAATTTACTGAATGACCCATTAGAATGTTGCATCTGTTTTGTGATGTGGAAATTGATGATAAGTTTATTACAGGACTATTCAATGTATTTTTTAATAACTGAATGTAACTCATACCATTAATTTGTAATATGATGAATTGGAGGAGATGTAAGTTTTTACTTAGATGTGAACTCATAATTTTGAAAAGTGTTGATAGTAATATTTGTTGGTAGATGTAGATCAAAATGGAGTACTAATAATTTCATTCAATAGGGAACGAATAAATAATATCAAGGACAACATCGATATAATTTTTCTTGGGAAATGATATATTTTGGAATATACTTCATTCATTCTTGGAGTTCTCTGGGTTTCCTACATTTAAAACAATCTGAAGAATTGATAAGTCTAAACCCGTGAAGAAGTTTAGGGCCTCGTTTTGGCAAAGGGGATAATCATGACTATTTGAAGAAAAAATCAGAACCCAAACTATTGATATGCTTGAAAATCATTGGATTCAGAATTCGAAACATTTGCTGAATTATTGTTCAATGAGCTTGTTGTGTTTATGTCAAAGAAAGAATATAATTGCGCGTCATTCACAGACTTGTGACGTCAGCCAGCCCGAGAATATTCTGATGTGACATAAAATTCGAAGGGATTAGAAGAAAGAACTTTGCAATAAGTAAATAAGTAGACAAGATACAAATGACCATGCCATAGCAATGATGTAATGTTTCGTTGGAAATTGAGTTAAAGAGCCAGACATGCAAGTAACCAATTATACAGAACTGGTTTCATTTTTTTACTGCTGCGAAAAACATCAATTATTCGATTTCAACACGTTTCTGTAAAATCGCGAAAGACGCAAGCATGGCAAATCCCTTATAATAAAAGCGCCGATGATGTAAAAGGGCCCAAGAAACGACGTAGTTGACGAGAATACATTGTCTTTCCGGCGAGAAAGCCGAGGCCGAGCTCGTCCTATTAAGGCGGTTGTTGACCCGAGATATAGGCTGATTCGTGTCGGTTTTTCCGGAATATCCTTTATCCTTTGTATTATCCTTATCGCTCTCTATCGAACTTCGCATAAAGGGCGGGTAAAAAACGTCACTGTTTTCCGTGGGCCCAGACCACAGACAGAAATAATTCGTTATTCAGTTGACGGAATCCGAATGGGGAAAGTTTTCCCCTTTGGAGAACTTGCATTGATTCGTGGAAAAATTTCGGGTTCAAAGTTTGTTTCAGTTCACATGTTTGATTAGTTGTCACTGACTTGAATTGAATTTTTTTGATATCTGATTGAAGGTCTATCTTACTATAAACCAGCTGTCGCTCTCCTACGAACGAAAACCCTCAGAATTCGTACGTTGTCAGAGATAAGAATTGACGTAGTCCCACCTCTCAACGTGCGATTACTAGCAAGGCAAAGCTCTAAAAATAATGTATAGTGGGAGTTCACTTGTAATAATTTTATTTAGGAGAAAAATTACTTGAAAAGTCTCTGAATAAAAACTTCCGATATGTAGCTACTACGATCAAATCAATAGCAAATCATTAATTGTCAATTATGTGAATAATGCAACTGTTTATAAACTAGATAGTTACTTCTTTTAACTCATTATGAATCCACTGACCCCTTTCTCTTTCATTGACGATAACTCCGGACACTCGCATAGGACATGCCTGACAGTTTCATCTTCCTGTTCACACATCCTGCATAGAGGTGTGTCTACTAGCCTCATATTATGGAGGTGTTTCCTTAATTGACAGAGGCCACTAAGAAATCCTACTGTTAAGCGTAGATTTTTCCTGGTCATCGCCAGATACTTCTTCGGCGCCGGCTTCCCAGTGTTGCCCAGAATGATCCTTCGATTCCATCCCATCTCTTTAGGGATTGAGCATGGGTGTGACGTTTGGCTAGTTCCGCAATTGTCGAAGTCATCAGGCCGTAGGAGCCACTGGCTGAGCCTATGGCGCTTCTTGCCATAGGCTCAGTCTCCATTGACCCATTCCTACTTCGAGGTTTACACCAGCCGTGAGCAATCATAACATGGTCATTAACACAACCTCCTTAACGTACAGGTCTAGAGGAGTCAGACCAGTAATTTATTCCATTACCGCGTGTTCTCACGGCTCCTGTGATGTTCAAAGAAGGCATTCGCTGTATTTGATTTCCTTTTTGGATGGCCGTTGCTTGTAGAACTTCTGGTCCCCATGCAATGGCTCCGTACGTTAACATAGATCTATTATTGCAGTGTAGATCCAGGTGACCACACGGGGTGAAAAACCCCATGCGCGTTCCACTGTCCTCCGACATTGCTCATAAGCCACATATGCTATTTTTGCTCTACTCTATAGGTGAGAGTTACATGTCAGCTTCCTGTCGAGGATAGTAACAAGATATTTCACCTCTTCAGAGGAGTTTAGTTTGCTTTTAAAGATTTCGGAAGGTTTTAAGCCCGAAAAAATTATTTTCCTGGTGAAAAGGACCATCTCAGTCTTCTTAGGATTGATCGACAATGACTGTTCCTCTGACCATGTTGCTATTAATTTGATACTACATTGATACTTACTGCTCTACTAGAAAGCATATTGAGTATCTATTCTCCTACTACCAGAGGTACATTTCTGGAGTGTAGTTGCTGGACAATTGTTGAAAAAGTTGTTTTATCAAACGCTCCCTCGATATCTATGAATTTACCCAGGGTGGATTCTTTGTTGTCCAATGATCTTTCGATTCTGCCAACCACATGGTGAAGGACCAAATCAGTAGACCTTCCCGGAGTATATGCATGCTGATTTGGATGATTTGAGTTGTGAACTAGTACTCCATCTCTCACATAGCCTCTCCATAGTTTAAAAAAAACGATGTGAGACTAATTGGTCGGTATGCTTTTGGTAAGGTGTAGTCCACCCTACCTGGTTTGGGTATAAATACTACTCTTACTTACTTCTCTCCACTTACCGGAAAGCACTTTTCAGCAGCAGATAACATTTTTGTTCTGGCGACGGAAAAGTATTTTCAATAGACACTGAATGTTTATTCATAGAGATATTTGAAAAATGAAATAATATGATTCAATCGGTAAAAGTAAAAGAATTTGAATTGCTTCAAAAGCCATACAATCGGGTGAAAATAGAAAAAGTATATATTAAAAATTGATTCTAGAGTGGCAGAAACGGTTTGTTAAAGTATATTCTGAAGAACAGTAGCTTCAAACCTAAACAATAGCTTTCAAAAAACATTTTTCGATAATCATTTCTTTTTCTTTTCATTTGTTGTGAATTTGTGAATTTTTGTACCAGATAGTCATGAATTTTGTTTCCAGTGAATTTGTTTCAGTAATTTTCTCATTGGAATATATCATGAACTGTTTATACAGATGATGAGAATTTGAATATGGGAAGGCGTAACTCAGCATCGTTATTATTATGAAAATAGTGAAAAATCATATGGAAAACGATCGAATATTATTGTGTAATGCATTGATTGATTCCGGTAATGAACCTTGTGAAAATGCTGTCATAAAAATTCAAGTTCGCGGTCCATAAAATACGAAACATTTGAATGAAAATGTGGTTCTATAAAATTGAAGAAAACTTGTTCTTGGTTAGGAAATATTCGAAACAATTTTTGATATTTGTAACACACGAAATAACTGAAAAACGAAATTAATCGAATGTGGTTTTTGCCCAATATATACAGGACCGGTCTTGATATCGTGACTTTTTACAACAGTAGACAGTACAGGCAGTAGCTAAAAATACAGCTTAATTTGCAAAAGTTGCTCATACAATCACATTGATAAAGTTGCCCCCCTGTGAACGTATAGTATAGTTGCGGAAGGTCGGGAGAATAACGAAAATAAAGAATCGACTAAGAGAAGGCAAGCGGTAATGGCATCTGGCGGAAACCCTGCCACAACAGATAAATACGATTTCTCATTCCCACTTTTATGTGCGCACTGTATATGAGATAACAACACTCCCCACACTCTTCACAAAACGAAAACACACTAACAATAACAGATCAACATTCAAAATTGCGCAACATAAAAATTTTTTCTGCTTTCAGAAGGCAAATCGATGGCCACGTCTTACGATTGCAAGTACATAGAGACATCTGTCGGCATAAACCACAACGTCGACGAACTTTTAGTAGGAATCCTCTCTCAGATCCGTCTCAAGCTCGAGAATCCGGAAAGAAGTAGAGATCTCTTCCGCAAGAGGAGTTCGTCGAAGAAAAATCTCAACAGAAACAAAAGCCCAGCATCAGGGGCGGCGACGCCAACTGGCAGTTGTCAAAATTCTCCGAAGAAGTACAGGGGTTCCAGAACGTCGGCAAGTTTGAAGGTTAGGAGTCTGCTGGGAAAGGTTTGGGCGAGGGACAGTAAGTCTAAGTCGTGTGAAAATCTACATGTTTTGTAAAGGGGTTTATTTTGTGATATTTTTGAGGGTGGAAATCGTGAGGAAGTTTGGTTTTCTTCTGAGAGATATGAAGAATGTTTGATTTTTGAAACGTGAATAGCTGAATTTTATAAAGTGTTTTATCGATTCATTTTCAATCAACTCAGTTTTTGAACAATTTTTCGGTTGTTCGACATCACCATTGTTAATTTTGAATTCTAAAACTAAATCATTCAACAAAACATCAACCATTGTTTTTAAAAAATCTGTTTTCAACCCATGGATAAATTAGGGTTGGAGTTAAACTTATTATCCTGTTGCAATGAAACTTGCTGAATACTGATAAGCCAAAGAAGTGAGGTCACAAAAAATATCGTGAAAAATTAATCATTCTTTCAGAATAAATCATCAAAAACGAATGAAATGTAGAAGATATCCAGTTGATCTTTATTTACGAAGCCATATCAATAACAACTTCAATATTGACACCTGTGAGGCGTGTTTTTTTGTTCAGTCTAATATCACACTTATCCTCATCTGAGAAAACTAAACCTGAAGCATGAATAGATGCCCATGCCACCCACCGAGATGTTTTTTCTACCCAATGACCTCATTGTAATGGATATATTGAGGAATTGTTTCAAATTTGAACTAGTTGCACTATGCTAATAATTTCCCAAAAGTATATCAAATTTCATCCATGAGTTTGCATCCGATATGTGAAGTTAGATAATGACATACAAGTCAACGAGAAGTTCAGAATGCTTTTTCACTGGCTAATGCAGAGAACTGAAATGCCTGGAATTGAAAAAACGTAATATCTCTACAGAACTGCATTTCCTGCTTTCATTTACCTAATGGTGAACAAAAGAGTACTTTGAATTACTTTTGGTTTCAAAGTTTTCATAAGGTTCACGTTAAAAGCTGCTTTTTTTTCGCATTTGTCCAAAAGACAATCACAAAAGTACAAAAACTCAACAAATGTTAATTCTTATTTTTTGTGATTCTTCACCAAACTTCTATCAAGAGTAAACTTCAAATATATGTTTCACATGTTTCTAATGCATTCACAAATGCATCATGTAGACTCATATTGATTGGAAGTAACCAGCTTTTACCCGATTCAATTTTTGTTCAGTCATAGGATTAAACATGCAACCTGCCACTAAAATAGCGAGTATGCTCAAACATTTCAGTTAAAAATTTGCAATCACTTCTGAATTAGTTATGAATATGCATGAAAACAATCTACATAGAAATTTGGGTTGATGCAAATTTGTCAGCCTGTTAGTACGTCACCATTGCAGATGAGGCTACGTTTACCAACTTTATTTTAAGCAACAGTACAACAATTAAGTTATTCAAAAATGAATCGATAAAACAGAAATATTAACACAAATGATAATCTTCATTCTTTCAGGACCTTTCTATGAATGTATATTAGTTGAGGATGTGAATTGGTTTATTTGCAGTTTGATCAAAAACATTTTTTTTATTTATCTATTATTTCCTTAAGGTAGTGATAGGTTCAAATCCTACAAGTTACGCAATAATGTCGAAAAAGTATGTGTATATATTGTAATTTAAAGATATGAGAATTCTTCGGGAATAAAAAATTACTTTAGGATTAGGTTTTGAAATTGGCGTTTTCCAAAAATAGTTTTCAATAATTGTATGAAAAATTTACCACAAGAACATCCCGTTCTATAATTCTGAATCCAATGTGAGTTCACGAGTTACTAGAAGGGATTTTATATTCTTGTATGGAGCTAAGAAGTACAATGTTTATTGTGATTCAGTTCATTATGCAACTGATTTTTTGTATGTTTCTAGAGTTAGTATTTTTATATTTTCACTTTACACTCTTTATTGTAGAATTTTTGTATACTATTCATTAAAATAGTTTGTACATTCTATGTTAACACGATTCAATTTAATATTTCTTATTTTACTAACAAAACTCCCGATTGTTATAGAAACTGTCGTTTCAAAAAATAGCTAAAAGGAAAAAGTCGATTCAGAAGTGTATTCTTAATCGCCCTCGATAATCAAGAATGAGAATTTTTTTTTATTGCAGTAAAACTATTCTGCAACTATGTTTGGTTAGTTTCTCTCTTTGAAGGATTCATTATCTGTGTTGAATCCTCCATTGCTAAAGGAAGATGTAGCTGTTAAAAAGTGCTGATAGGAATCTGAGATGAATAAAATAAGCGTTGGAGTCAAGGAAAACTCTGAAATTAGTTAAGACTGAGAGTCCTTTATTTTAATATCCCCTTCTTTCAGCTTCATGTTACAAATAGCACAATGACCCTTTTGGGATCAATAAGGAACAACGTAGAATGCCAATGGTTATTCCAAATGTGTCACTGTGCAAAGGACTTTCTAGGACTTCTCAACACTTTCCCGAAAAGTTCTGCAAATGCCACAAAACGGGGATTATTATATTGGGAATAAAACTTTGCAAGGTCATGTCTGGAGTCATTTCATTCCAACATATAATATTTCATAAATATCATGTATAAAACATAAAGGATGAAATGAAGACTGTATTACAGAACTTCTGAGTTCTTATTAAAAAATAATAACGTCCTCGAGATATCTCGTATTTCTCTTCGAAATGAAATCATTACGGAAATCACTCGTTTCGAAAATGCTATTATTGCCAGAAAAATGTGAAGGCTTTGATCACCAGTGTGGTAAATATTTTCCTCTAGCAGCAAACTATTTCTCTATTTGATGTTGTGTTCACTATTCAATGGAGGCTAGGCTCTAACAGTAGAATCAAATTGAAAACACTTATTTTCTCAAAATGACTATAGGTACGAATTCCAATGAATGTTTTACACGCATCCTCAGGATCATTCGAAGTTCTTTGTTGGTAGTATCATTTATCGATTGTCCTGTATAGTTTTTAGAAATATCATTGACAGGATATTCCAAATGATTATTCAAATTCGACTAATCACGTATATTTACTTCACTGATTACGTATGTATAGGTTCTACATCCTTTTCGTCAATCCTCGAATGATGAAAGATATTGTTCTTTCAGGAAAAAGGTCCACTTTTCTCTCTAGGAACGAAATAGCGAAAAATCAAAATGTCTAGACTCAACAATTATTTTTGAAAAAGTTGATTATGTCGATTCAATTTAACGCTGAAAACGACACCACATTGACACAAAATGGAAATTGAAAGAAAGATAGCTCACAGAAATCATTAGACATTGAAAAAACTCATTTGACACAAATAAATACATAAACTCGACACTCGTCAACTAGCAGACACACTCACACTACAGAGGGTCGAATAGATCCGCTCACTTCAGACCTAATAATAGGGGAGCCCAAACGGGGATTTCGAGATTTACCAAAGCGCTGCAGATTAATATACAGGAGGATATTTTGTACCCGGTTGAGTACCTCCACCAAATATAAGCTCCATATATAAGGTCGCCTGTGAGGGATAAAGGATCAGATTAGTAAAAAAAATGATCATCAGTAATTCTCGAGCGCGTCAGATTAAGGTAGGGTGAGTTATTTACCTGCTAAAAAGTGTATATTTCAGTAATCTGACAATTTGAGAGTGACGTAAAGAAAGGGGAGGGCAGCAAAGTTGTAAAAAAAATAACGTAAATTCGACATTCTCGACCGTAGGTAATTTTTTTTTATTTTGAAGGAAATAATTCAAGGATAACGAAAAATATATAATCTGACGATTTCCGCAAGCCGAAATAACAAACATTCGTCGATGAAATTTAATGCGTGCAGCTGTGTGATACCTATATTTCCCTCTCCGAGTTTCTATTTCTCTATTCTTTATTCACTTTTTCTCTATCTATTACTCTCTCACTCCGTCCCCACTCTGAATTCTGTTGCCATGATGCCATCACAGCTGATCACAGAGACTCGTTCATGATGAAGATGAAGATGATTAATTATTCAATTAATTGATGGATGTACCCGTTACTACGTGGTAGGAAATCATAATGAAGAAAAGAGAAATTAAACTTTCTATGTTTTTTACCAGTTTCATTTGTAACTGACGTTACTGCAGTTTAGTCCCATAAGGACATTTTCAAACTCATACAATATATAAGAACATTTTCAAACTTATACAATATATAAGTTTGAAAATGTCCTTATAGGACGAAACTGCAATAACGTTAGTTACAAATAAAAGTGGTGGAAACATAGAAAGTTTCATTTCTCTTTTCTTCATTAATTAATCAATTGATTATGGAAAATTAAATTTTTTGAGCATTTTTTTTAATTATTTTCTTATTAATACAAGTATTCTACTTAAAAAACATACACTTATTTATTTGAATGCTATTTCCTGAGCTTTTCAATTGATTAAGTTCAATGAATTAAAATAAAATGAAAAAAAAAAATATTGTTTTTGTCAGATTAAGCGAATCCCTCTAAATAATCGTCAGATTATGAGACAGCACGTCTAAAACATAAAGATGAACCATATATATCTTAATCTGACGCGCTTGAGTATTCCAAAATGGCGATTTTTTTTTTGCACATCATAATAATGGCCGCGAGTTTGCGTCAGATCGAAATCGTCAGATTATTGAATGAGAGCTTTTTTTTGTTGCACCTAACACCCCCTTAGAAAATCTGACGCGCTCGATTAATATTTTTTTCTTTTCACTTTTAACCCTTACGTACAACCACCCACATCATGCAAACGATCAGATTAACATACCAACATCATTAAAAATACGTAGGACATTGGTGCTATCGATATCTGACGCGCTCGAGTATGTCCAAGCAACAGTATTTTTTTACATATTGAAATATCTCTAGCCGCTTCCCCCACCGATGAAAAGGTATATATTATATAACTTTTTTTTTCTTCTTATCATTTAAGCTTTGCAACCTAATATGTCTCAATGACTCTCGAGTAAATCCCCATTTTGCATCATGGGCTCCCCTGCTATAACCTAACCTAACAGTTCGTCAATCATGTGCAACGACTCCCAACCGATGACAGTCAACAACAACCGAATCGCTAAAACTCAGTTGAAATTTGCAGGAATTGAAGAATCGCACTGGAACAATGATAATCTTGGGATACCTTGAGGACAGTATAGAGGAAACATATCACCGTATCGCGTTTCATACTGAAGACTCAACGCCATAATGTTGCT